CGTAAGATGTGGTCAAAAGTGGTGTCACTTCTGGTGTAGTCTTCGAGAGAAGCGGTGTTTCATGTCTTCCATGAGTGCAAACCTCTTCGACCACAACATCTGTGGATCTGTTATGTGATAATGAAGTAGACATTGTGGCATTGTGAATCAATTTGACCTTGTTTGCAGCAATATAACCGTATAGTAGAGAATAAACGAGAATATCTACACAGAAAAAATGTGTTTTACATAAAAATAACAACAATGTTAATAAATTCTTACCTCAATAAATGTCAATTTATCAAATACAGCGTAACCTCCGATTGTGAATCCAAACGTACGAGTGTTTTGTACGATTGTCCCAAACATAAGCCACTCGTTGTACTCGTCGTCCGACAAATCGCTGGCATTAATGGTATGTAAAATGCGCTGAAGTTTTGCGGATTTAGTCGACACTAAACCGCATATAAAACACGATATAATCGTTGAAATACTGGCGGATATACTATTAAATGCCATCAGATCTATAAATCTTGAAAGTTGGGGTATTTGTGCCGATAGTGTTATGGTATATATGTTTAACATTACGGCAAATATTGTGCGAATAGTGTTAAGCACAAGACAATAGCGTAACCATCTGTCCATGACATAGAGTGTGTCCCGTAGTGTAGCGTATAACATTTTATTATACCCTATTTTATTGCTAATACTATTGCCTTTAATACGAGTGTTTAAGTAATCGTGATCTAGTTCAATTTAAATATTAAAATTATTATTGTTATTTATTTAATAAGTTAAAATTAGATTACTACATACATGATCCAAATTTATTATTTAAATATCTATGAGTAATTGTAGTTGAATTTGTGCAAATATAATCAATTACATTGATAGAATAAGCTGAAATAACCCAGATAATAGTGTATGGCAGCCATAAATAAAATACCACAATCAAATATAAAGAACCTTGGATATACATATTGATCGTGGCAAATTGTGCCACTTTTATAACGGTACTTATGAAAACAACAATCACGAAAATAATATGCATAACCCATACAAGAAAAACCCACATTACTAGTGATGTAATGCGATTATTAATATACTGTCCAATGTTGGACAAAAAGAGCATGATCATTTCGTAGCCATGTTTATTAATTTGATATAAAATTAACGATTTTGTAAATACGTCTACTATTTGAAGTGTCTCCATTACAAAAGAAATTAATATAACATTTGGGCCAAAAGCAATCTTTCTCATCTCTGTAAACTGCATTAAAGTCTCCACATTTAAATATAATTCATAAACAAAATAGAATATGCATGTTAAATAGCCGTAATATTTCCAGTATTTATTTTGCCTAATTGTACTCGACTTGCTGTATATAGTCAATCCCCCAAATGATACGCCTATTAATCGGTGAAACCATAATATTGTATGGATTATCAACGAAAACTGTTGGTCACATAGGCGGATTAGCCAATTATTTTTATTCTTGCGTGATTTAGGAAAATATTTGGGTTTGGCCATTTTTATATTTTTATAAATTATTAACATTCAATAATATTTAACTTGTATAAAGTATAAAATAATAGTAACACAATAATAATAATTAATTTATTACTTTATAAACTAAACTTTATTACTTTACACTGATTCTAAAGGCCCAATCAACAAATAATCTCGTGATATAATACTATGTTTACAATAAAATAATTATTGCATTAAATAGCAAACATATAAAGTAAATAATAATTTAATGTTGTTCATCTTACATGCGATGTACTTGTATTGTACTGATTATACAGTACAATACAGAATTACTAATGTCATAACAAATCAATTTTATTAAATTATGTTTTACATTACATTAATTGCAAAAATCCATGTTACTTAATATTGCTAAATATTTACTGTACTAAATGTTTATCTAAAATGTTTACTAAATAAACTTTGAAAATTATTAAAATTAATGTAACAATTTAATTAATTATAAAAGTATATATAACTCTCTCTCTCTCTCTCTCTCTCTCTCTCTCTCTCTCATATTTAAAATAAAATACTAATATTAAATAAATCTATTACATGATGATAGAATATAAACAGATCCAAACATAGGTATATATTAAATGCTTATAAAGTTACAAGTTGATTAATTTGGTTAGCACAAAATAAAACTTGAAAAATTCACCATAAGTTATCAGGGAAACAAAATTTCTAAAAGAAAACAAATACATAATTAATCTTGCTAAACCTTACAAAACAATTGCTAATTAGAATACATACTATTTTTCTCAACCACGATGTCATCATTGTGTAGAGCTTTACCCGTAAAACTCTCGTTACGGGGCGGCGTTCGGGTGGGTATGACTGGACTGCCGGTGGGCTTATCATCGATGCTATCGTAAAACGGTTGCGAATGTTTCCTAATAATCAACACATCCCTCTCACTATCGTCGGCATAGGTGTCCACTTGGTTACCATAGCAACAGCAACAACAAAACACCCTACGCGTGCATCGGGAAAATTGATCAGGTTTCTCCTGGCGCCATTTACTAATACCCAGGCCTGCTATGCACACGGTAACCACCAGGGCACCGGTCACCGAGGTCCAATCACTCTCCTCGCCCAACAGCCATACGTCCCATACAAAGGCCAACACTATGTTAAGCGTACGGGTGATGGCCACGGGTCCGGCCGACTCATAATGTAAGGCTATAGTCATAAAGTACTGGTCGGCGATACCCAACACCCCTATCGCCACCAATAAGCCATAGCTAAGCCAACCCGCCGGCCAACGCCATTGGTCCACAATTAGCACCGTGGTCAAACTGGCCGCCATGGCAACGCCCGAGAACCATATGATCACCACGGGCAATGGGGTGGTTTTTAATTTGCGCAAAATAATCATCACGGTCGCTGTGCTACAGGCGGCCACCACCGAGAATATCAGGCCCTGTGTGCGGTCAGGTGTGCCGTACCCGTCGCTCCCGAATATAAACTCCGGTTTGGCAATGATTATAATGCCGCCAAACGTGGCAATGCCCGTAAACACCTGTAGACATGTTAGCGGTTCGTGGAGTATGAATACGGCCAGGAATATGACAATTACGGGCGACGAGAATTGGATCGTGGTGGCGTCACCTAAGGGTATGAGCCGATAGGCCTGGTATATGAATATAGCTGCTGAGGTGCCGGCTATAGCCCGGAGAAACAGGTCTATCCGATGCCCGCGTACGCCGAATATAGGGTGCCGGTAATAGATGATGGGTACCATGTAGAATATTACCTGAAATGCGCACCTGTATGAAAGTTTAAAGTATTATGTCGTTAGTTAAATATATGGAAATATACTGTATAAAATATAAACTGTAAATTAATAATTTAGAAGTTCTATTTTGCATATATACATTAAATTCAAATAATGTTATGGGAAATAGCTGCTTTATGGTTAACTATTTTTACAATTAAAAACAAAACTAAACCGAACAAATAAAATAAACCAAATTAATAATTAATTCATCATAATTAGTTAACATCATAATTTAAATTTAATAAAACAAAATTAAACTGCTCAAGCTCAACTAGTTGTAACCCACCTTATAAACAGCACCTGTAGGGAATGCAGCTCGGTGATAATTTTGACAATGACCGATGCCACGCTAAAAGCCACCACGCTCAATATGGACATCATAATGCCAAAGGCGGGTATCATTTCGGGTATGGACTTTTTGTGGACCAATTTTTGAACTAGCTCGTTTGAGCCCATTGGCAGGCTAGCAGTTGAGTATTTCCGGCCGCACCCGCACTCAACACTGCCATCCAATGTCAGTGTGTTCACTGCCGATGAGCCACTGCTACTCGATGTGGACACTCTACCCGGTGTCGAGTGCTGATGATCCGGGTCGTTGTGTTTCACCACGATTACTTGCATGGTGAATTATTATTTTTATTTAAAGTTATTTATTATTTAATTAAATAAATTATTATTAATTAATTAAACACAATATTAGTTGTTATTGATGAGTATTATTTTTACGGCAATTTAAATGCATTTATAAGTATAACATATAAGTAATTATTATTTATTTAAATCACATTTAATTAATTTAATTAAAATTAAAATTCATTTTAACTTTGTTTTTCTTGACAAAGAAAAACAGTTTTTATGATTTATTTAATATAAAACTAATTGATTGTAGATTTCATTGACTTTATGGCAAAGAGAGACAAAAAACTCATGACTCTCTCTCTCTCTCTCTCTCTCTACTCTCTCTCTCAACAAAAAACAATTTATAACAATAAACGCAATAAACCCATAGATTTATCATTGAATTCGTGGTATTCCTGACCATAACCCTCATGAGAGGGCAACCTATATGCGGACTACAGGGCAGTCGCCTGGAGCTGACCGCCCGGTGTGTGACCGGCATAACCGCATTGGTCTCGCTATTCATGGCCTACCGTTTTATCCCGATGTCCGACGCGTCCGCTCTCTACATGTCATCCCCGGTATTCATCACAATATTCGCCTACGTCCTACTCAACGACCCGATAACACCCCTACACTTGACCACGTGTGCCATCACACTGACCGGTGTGTTTGTCATATGTCGGCCAGAATTCCTGTTTGGCGGTCGGGATTACGGCACCGATGCATACGATGGCAACACTACTCAAACAAACATGACTACCGGTGCCGATAGCGCTGATAGTCTATGGCCGAGCGGACACACAGCCGGTATCATACTGTCCATGACATCGGCTATAAGCTCCGCCTACGCCGTGATATCCCTACGCAAACTGCGGGAAACACCGGCGCCGGTAATAGTGATGTGGTTTTCGGTTACCGGTGCCGTCGCTTGCGCTGCTCTATTGGGCACCGGATTTAGCCCATGGATTACACCCGTAGGCCTACGCGCGTGGCTATTGATCGCGCTGACTGGCGTGTGCCTGGTGTTTAATCAACTGTTTTGCACCATGGCCTTTCAGTACGAGGGACCCGGACCATTGTCGCTCACTTTTAGCTTCATGATTGTAATGGCATTCCTATGGGAAGTGACTATTTTCGATGCGCCCATACCCTATACCTCTATAATAGGTGCACTTTTGATTACCCTATCTATAGTGATTGTCTCTGCCCATAAGATTTATGCGGAAAATCCGGACCGTTGGCGATCCTGGTTAAAATGTACTGTTAAAACGAGCCCTAATGTTAAACCAAATACTGATGTATTGTTAGGTAAAACATCTGATAATAATGTTTAATCATGGTGTTATCATTGTTTTATTTTGTTTATTTTTGTTTAATAGAGTATGTAATTGGCAATTACTAATTGCTTTAATTTGGTTTAATTTTTTGTAAATAAGGCTATTTAAATAAGTATAGACATTGTTAATTAATTACTTAAATTATGGCTTTTAATTAATTTTCACATTGATAATTTATTTTGTCAAAACAGAAATAACACAACACTAATGTGAATATAAAAACTAATTATACACAAACAATTGCTTATCATAAAAACCAATATAAAGTTATATAGCATTTATTAACAAACAATTTTATTATTAATGAATCATTAATAAACAATAAGCAAATTTTAATTAAAATTATATAGCAATTATTATTAAACATTCTATTGCATATAAATTAAATACTTTTATAATTAAAATTTCTTAATATTAGCAAGCTCAATTACTCTAAATTTACCACTTTAGTCCCTCCGCACAACTTAAACCTTAATCTATCAAACAATTCCGGCTTTTCTTGACTCCACTTATAGGCGCCCAGTATTATAACACCTGTGCTGACTAGTGCTGCCCCTAAAGCCGCCGTACCGTTGAACGTCCCGTTCAGCACCAGTATATCCCACACAAATGCCAACACAATGGTCAACGATCTGGCAATGCTAGCCGGTCCGGCCGACTCGTACCTCAGGGCCACTGTCATGAACAGTTGGTCACCCACACCGGTCACCCCTATGGCCAACAGCAGTAGCCAAGCCCTCCAGCCCACGGGCCACGTGAACGCATCCCAGGCCACCAGGGTGACCACTGTGCCCACAATAATCGCCACGGAATACCACACCACCACCACAGCCACCGGCGTTTGTTTCAGCTTTCGCAGCGTTATTATGGCCATAGCGTTGCCAAACGCACCCATTATGGCGGACAATAGGCCCTCGATGTGTCCGTCCGGTATATTAGCCCAGCCGAGTGTGAACAGCATTTTTGGCCTGGTGATTATTACTACGCCCGACAGTGTGATGGTGCCGGTGAGCACCTGGAGTATAGTCAGGGGCTCCCGGAGCAGGAAATACGCAAATAGGGTGACAAAAACTGGCGATGAAAACTGGATGGTAGTCGCGTCGGATAGGGGTATGAGTGCGAACGCCATGAATGACCCCATTGACGATACTGTTCCCCATACGCCCCGCATGAATAAGTCAAACCGGTGACCCGGCACACCACCCACAGATTGACCCTGCCACAATGCATATACTAGGTTGAATAGGAATTGGATCACGCATCTAAAAGGGAATTTAATTTTTGTTAATTATTTTATTTGTTTTTTATTAATTATTTTATTTTATTTGTTTGTATATTAAAATATGTTTATATTCAATATTTATATTGAAGCATGATTAATTTATTGACAATTTTTATTATAATCATATCTAATAGACATTTGTTAATAAAAATATATAATAATTATTAAAACATGTGTAATTTTCTAAGAATTACTTGTTTTCATTTTTTAGAATTAATATTATTATAACAAATATTTATATTGTGCAATCATTATACAGTATGATCTTGATTAATCAAATATTACTTTAATTAAAATATAAATTAATTAAATTTATCAAATGCTGGTGCCAGAAAAATGATAATTAATTCAGGGACTTAAACTTATCAACTATTTGAAAATACTACATTATATAAAAAAATATATACATTTAAAAAACATGATATGGATAACTATATCTATACACAGAAACAAATTATTTAATAAATTTAGCACCTCAAGAATATGAAAATTACCTGAAAAATAGGACCTCGAGCGAATGCAATTCTGGTAATAATTTAATTATAAGACTGCCCAATGAGTATGAGGTGGCCGACAGTGCCATCAATATAATACCAAACGCCGGTATTTTGTTGGCAATCCTATCGGTTAAGGATTGTTTATTTTGCGCGACTAATACACCGCCCTTTTCGGCAACATTTACACCAGATAACTTTACTACATCACCGTTATTATGACAGTTGGCACCACTACTGGCCGGTGTGTCTGCGTTCACATCCACAACAACCATATGCTGTTTTTGCTTATTATTAATTGACTTATTACTAACATTTTTGCCGCCAATATTATCATCACCGAAATGCTTATCATGCAACTTCATAATAAATTATGGCAACGATTGTAAACTTATAATTTAAATATTTAATTTATATAGATTATTATACTATTAATGTAAAACTTAGATCAGCACGTTATTTCATATTAAAATTATTTAGTAAATTGATTATGGCTAAGGTTTTGGCAAGAAGTTCACTGTTAAATGTATAAACTGTCTGCAATTGATTAGTAAAATATTGAATATTTATTAGAAAACTTTATATAAACATATCGTATCTAAAAGTTAAAGTTATTTCTGTTTTATATATGCATTTTGTTGTATGAATACACTGTGTATTTAATTAAAATCTTATCATTTACAACCAATTGAGCGATTAGGTCCACTATTAGACCAAAGTGTGCATGGTGATAAATATAGCTGTATGACCAAGTTGAATGTTTTAGGATGTTCATCAAATTATATTTTTAAAAATCGTATTTAAATAATACAGACGTAATCTTATTAACAAAATAATTATTCAAAATAAATTTAAAGTTAATTATTTTAAGTTTTTACTACTTTTTGACGTTTAAAAGTTTAATTCACATGGTGATACATTTAACACACTATAAATATTAATTAAATATAAACTTTTAAGAGATAACACACTCGACAAATAACAAGGATTGCGCGTCAATTTGGCAACTAATCTACAATTTTGAATAGGTTTATAAAAATGTACAAAATATAAAGAATATATCCATAGAATTATTATTATCCCATAGCTAAAGTAAAAGCATTATCGTAGATTAAGCATAGTTATAGACTTACATTTTTATAAAAATACATTATTCATTAATTAAACATGACCATTGATTTAACATTAGTCCCATGTTAAATTATAGCCACAGATTTAAGCTGAAATTCCCTGTCGATCCTACATGGTGGGTGTGGGTGTGATTTTATAAACTACCAGTTATATAATAAATTGTAGTTAAAATATATATTAATTACATCAATTAAATAAATGTTTATTTTACATGCACACATTTTATCAACATATGGATTAAACCGGATTGAATATTTGATAATGGTGAATTGCGAAATTTAATTTAACAAGATTACACCAGGGAGTGTTCAACTTACCAATGGCTTGATTGTATCATTTTGTTTATACCAAAGTTGTACGATAGGGCAAATATTGAATAAAAAAAATGTATTATTTTCTATTACAATATTTACCCCCGAAAGACAGCTCTGGAAAGTTGTGTAATGCAAATGTTATTTATTTTATATTTACAATCAAATACTAGTAACAGGAAATATCTATCGGTCATCTAAAATTTATTTTAGTTTATTTGTACTGCATTGTATGAATCCCATTAATAATTTATTTGACCTATCACATTCATATTTATAGTATTATCCACTTTATTAATAAAAGTTACTACTGTTATTTAATGTAAATTAATTAAATTATAAATATAAATAATTATATAACAATTATTTATAAAAATTACATGGTAGTAATAAATTTAAAACTTTTCCTTGTTAAAATGTAATATTGTTTGTCGAATGCACAAAAAATTGCATCTTTCCAAAACCCAAAAATTATTAATAATGTTGTAAATACTTTTATTATTAATAATATTAATGATAAATTACAGTTTGTACAATACATTTTATGCATACAATATAATCTTTCATCTCTCTCTCTCTCTCTCTCTCTCTCAAAACATACTCACTATAAAGGATCA